GAGCTGGAAGATGAGAACTGGCGACTTTGTAGTACAACTTTAGTACGCGGGGCAAGCTGTGGAGCCGGAGGCTGAGAACTGACGACTTTGTAGTACAACTTGAGTACGCGGATGAGTCATCTGTCGCGGCTGAGTCATCTCTCGCGGCTGCTCTGGCGCCCCTGCAGCTGAGTCATGTCTCCCGACCACCCGGCTCTCTTGAGAGGTTGACAAATTTTAGCTACTTTGCTTACTCATAAGTGGCTGCCACAAAAGAGTCATCGTGACGTTAGTATGTGTGTACTTCACCTTCATGACAAACGATGTTCGCTTGGAATACACGAGTCGCTTGTCATGATCGTGATGTCGTTTACTCTCAGGTCGCCCTGTTCGTGGAAACTTCAGTGTGAAATGTACGTTCTTCAGTTCTAGTTGAACCTCTTCAGCGTTGTACTTGCACGACTAAGGTTGACGTTGCATTGCCGTTGCATCGACGCATCTACGTCTACACCCCCTCACCTCTCTACATTTACATCTTCACACGCTCACATCCGCAGATCTACCTCTCCACCTCACCACACCCACACATCTGCACATCTATGTCACATCTGTACATCCACACTGTCGCTCCTTCACATCTGTCCTGTCTTTCTTTCTTTCTTTCTACATATCTTTTCTCTCGTCTCTGTGCATTTACATCTTCGTACGCTCACATCCACAGATCTACCTCTCCACCTCCATACATCTACAGATCTATATCGCACCTGCGCATCACACTGTCACTCCTTCACATCCACCCTCTCTTTCTCTCTTTCTATACATCTTTTCGACTGTGCTGGACAATTACATGTCTCGCTCTCGGGCCAACCGTCGTCTAGTGTCCATTGTGTCTTCATAAAGGCTACTCACATATGCTTCAATGCGAACCATTTTCAATCTAGACCATAGTTTGTGCATATTGCACTGTCCACATCATGAGATCTACTGAATGCATACTGAGAAAAAGTGCGTATGGTAGCGGAGCTGAGAAGGAGGTAGCCCCTCTGGCGAGCTCTGATTAAAAAGCCCCTAGGTCACTGCATAGATTTGATGCCTTTGGAACCAAAACAGCTGGACTGGTGAGAAATTGTTGTGAGCAACACTCTGTAACCAGTACATTGTGTCAAAGAGACATTAGTACAAGGAAAAGATGGAGGACATCAGAGAAGTCCTTCAAATTATGGCACAGAGTCACAGAGCACGCTAGCAACAACATCCAGCAGCTGAGGCAGTGAAGAAAGCAGTTGAAGACAAGAAGTCATCTATGTGAGACCTTGAGGCGTCTCGCAGTTGACCGCTGCTGTGACAGTTGCAATGGTCTACATAATCCTTGGCGGCCATGGCCTTGCGGATGCGGGGCCAATGGAAATTATGTGAAACACCAATTTCCATGATTCGCCTCTGCGCGGTTGTTATCTTAGCAGAAGTTCTGCTCTGAAAGGGCAGACTGGGACATTGTGGGAATTGAACAGTTCCTTGAACAGGGATGCTGCGCTTTCGACAAGGCACCTCTTTGCATACATGCCAGTCGCCAATAACTTTCGTATTTGTACATCTATAATTGGTTTGTTGAGTTTAGATATTGTGGAGCTTGTTTGTCTCATGTTTAAAGGCAAAAATATGTTTGGTAAACGTGAAAAGTAGAAAAACACTTCTACCTGAGCTCCAAAGCGCCAACCCAAAGCCACATGTTTTCCTATGCTGAGGTATGGCTTCAACTTTGATCTGCTAAAGAATTGCTCGAATTGGGGAAACATCAACTCAAAGTCGGTGTTGAAGAGACCCCTATATAGAAACACGCGTGACCACAGGATTCATCTTTGCGAGTGAACTATAGCGCGAGATATTATTCCAGCATCCATCGATCAAAAGTTGATGAATCAGCAGGAAAGATGCAAATCCTTTGGCGTATGACTAGGCGCAAAAAATGTATGTAGTTTATGAAAAATGCGGCTCGTACTCTGGCGATGGTGTTCGACACAAATGCTACCTCAAAACTTCCTCTCCCCTTTGCATACTCTCTTCCCTAGAGATAAAGCTTTACAGTAGGCATTTTTGATCCATTTCTTCTGTTTTTGACGTTTTTTTATGTTTTTTGACAAAGGCAGGCAGGCGGGCATGCGTGGGCGCGCGCGCATGCGTGCGTGCGCGATCGTGCACGTGCGGGCGCGCGAGCGCGTGCGCGCGTGCGCGCGCCCGTGCGTGTGCGTTCGCGCGTGCGCGGGTGCGTACGCAGGTCCAAAGCTGAGGTTGCCAGGCTTTTCGCGCACACCTCTGTGGGACTGTGCATGCAGGCGTAAGAAGCTCTGCCATTTTGCTGCGCAAGAAGCCAGCCTGCGGATACGCGCAGTCCCCCTTAAGTGCATGCGTGCGTCTGCGCGGGCGCGTATGCGTTCGTGCGCGCGCAGGTTCGTGTGCGGGTGTGCATGCGCTATACGTGTGTATTGAGCTGAGGTTGCCAGGCTTTTAATATCCGCGCGCCGCACACCTGCGTGGGAGTGTGTACGCGCAGGCGTCAGACGCTGCGCTAGTCGTCGATTTTGCTGCGCTAAGACCCTGCGGATACGCGCAGTCCCCCCAAGGGCATTGCCGGTTGGCAAAGCCTGTCAGTAATCAAGTATCAGAAAGACCACGATTTCAATCAACTTTTCAGTGGCGTAAGATTTACAAATGATTTTGTGGATGGCGCAATGATTTTGTTTCCCCCACCAAGTAGCAAAAATACCGAAGGTCTTGTGGAAATACTTGGACATAAGGCCAACTATTCCTCTACAGGATTGGTATTTTGGGTGTTTGGTTGTCAGATTTTATGTCCACTGCCGTGCTCCTCCTTCTCATTCTCCTTTCATCTCCTCTGCGTCCTCAACCGCGAATGTCGAATGGCAGTGTTCTCCGCCAGACCTCAGTGTCGGATGGCGGTGTAGTTCCCCGCCGGACCTCAACCGCAGCTCCGGGTGGCAGTGTTCCCCGCCGGACCTCAACCGCAGCTCCGGATGGCAGCGTTCCCTGCCAGACCGCCAGCTCCGGACGGCAGTGTTCCCCACCGGACCTCAACCGCCAGCTCCAGATGGCAGCGTTCCCCGCCGGACCTCAACCGCCAGCTCCGGATGGCAGTGTTCCCCGCCAGCCAAAACACAAGTACAACACACGATCACAAACACACAACCACAAAAACCACAGAGACACATCCACAGCACACAGCCACAACACACAACCACAGCACACAGCCACAGCACACAACCACAAAGACACATCCACAGCCCACAACCACAGCACACAACCACAAATACATAACAACAGACACAAGCACACAACCGCTAACACCCACACACATAAGCATGTCAAACAGTATGGCAAGTAGAATTACCAGATAGAATGTCACAATATAAATATATGTCAAAGAAAATGCTTCTGCTGTGTGACCTGCACACCTGTTCTTCTTTTGCCTTTACCGAACCAGACACCTGACAGGCGGCACGCCGCTGTCTTCCAAGAATGTCAGTCACATCTGACAAGCAGCTGTTTCTAAACAGGCTTGGGACACAGGCAACATCACACAGCAAGTATGTACACCGCACCGCAGGTATGTGCATGCATCGGCCTAGGCAAGTACTTTATGTGAGCGCAGGCAACTGTAACTAGCAATGTGTGGCATTCCACATCATCGGATAGTGAGCAAGCTAGGCAACATCACGAAGCCGGGATGTGTCACAATCCCAACATTTTGCTCGGGCAAAACAAGTGCAGCCTGATTATCTGCATTACATTCATGTTTCAGTGGATTGAAATGTCATGGTGGGGAATTTCGAAGTGAAATACTGTTAATATGTTGTGTATTGTTGGTCTACCCAGAACCGTTTTTCTGCAGGATTGGTATCTGCAGGAAGCATGCTTTGATTTGGCATAGTCAATGCAAAAGTGTACATATTTTAGAAAAGGCATCTGCGGGAAACGGTGGGAAACGCACACGCTCACAGCGCTGGTTTCTGGAGATTCTGCAAGAAAAACAAGATGTCCAATTTTTGTGCCAGGTGGCCCACCAACTAGGGTATTCACCTGCAGGTGAATACATGAAGATGCCCAGGCACCATGCCACTACGCCTTTTGTGTTTCTTAGTTCCCAGCCATCAGCACCACACAATGCATGTCTGTTACCAACCACTGGAACCAATTCATACGGGTCCTTTCGGTACACTGGGAAGTGGTTGTTGCACAAGTAGTCGCTCAGAGTGTAAAGGCCGCATGCCTCGCTCAACTCACCAGTAAATCCCTCAAGCCTCACAGATCTTGGCATGATATGATCTACCCACTCGACCATCAGAGGCTTCAACTGGCAAATGGTTCCAACGCTGCCTTCTTTCAGAACGCTAGGCACCGCCAAACGCACTGGGCTACCTATCTCCAGCTCTTTGACGCCAATGATTTGCGCAGCCAGCTTCTCAGCCGACAAAGTTGCGCAAAAGGCAAAGAACTCTGGCGCGGTCAAGCTCTTGTGCATTGTCTCAATGATAATGCGTTTCCAGGCACAGAAACGGGTTCCAGGCGCTTCAGGCGACCCAAAGGCTGTCGCGCGATCCACTTCATCTCGAACAAGTCCTGCAAGAAAGTTCATCTTGGCCACGTCCAGGTCGTTGATGGACATGATGTTGTTGGCAAAGCCCAGAAAACGTAGCAGCTCATCCCAAGTCCAGGTGTCAGGTGGACGCTCCCCGACAGAGGCCACTTGGCTCACTTTCACTTGCAGCGCCAATAGCCCAAGAGCCAGTGGAAGGACCAGACCAATGCTTACCAAGGAGACACTAAGAATAGCTGATCCTTTGTTTTGTAAGAGATCAGCATTGCCTTTCCACACGGTGATCAACCTGTCGACTACTCTCCCTGGCTCCACCACTGGCAGCAATTTCAAACAGGAGAATTTGCCAGTGACGTTCATCACGCTCGTGAAGCCCAACAAATAGTACGACGAGCCAGAGAAGAACACAGCCATAAGGAAGAACAACAAGCTCAGGAAGGAGGCAGAAGCAAACACCACTTCGATCCATGCAATCACATGCTTGCTGACCTGCAGATGGTCTGTGGACCCCCACTTAGGTAGAGCAAGAAAGTTGTAAATGTAGAAGAAGATATTCATGCATGCCTGCGCGATTGCAACAACACACAGAATCCTCTCCTTTAAGCTAGGCATCAGATTCTTGAGGTCTTCATCACAGCACTCATCCCCTGTCTTGACATATAAGTGAGACCAAAGGTCTCGTGAGGTCTTTTCTGACAGGTCCTTTGCGGTACGCACATCACGATATGGTAGACCTTGAAAGCCTTGAGCTGTGGCCAATCCTAGTAAGGGTAGCGCTATCCATCCCACTCTGAGATGCCACTCGCTGTGAATTCCCAGCATTGGTTTGTTCAAGTCCAAGCCTTGGAACGACCACGCCAAGCAAGCCAAACATGGAAGAGTGGCAACTTTGCTGGCCATCTGGACCCATCTATGAGCTCTGCGCTTTCGGAAGAAATTCAGGGTACCTGCAGACAGACTTTCGCAACTGCCGCCATATAGGGCGCGCTGTTCATGATAGTGACAAACAAAAGCGTAACTTGGCATCGCCCCGATCGCATTCAAAGACCCAATGACACACACGATTTGGGCCGAACTTTGGGCCGAATTTCCACAGAAGAGTTGTCTGACGCAACGGTTGCTTTCCTTGTTCTTTGTCGTCTGATACTTACGAGCGAAATGGATGAACGTGTAATCACTAAAGGACTAACAAGATGGGACAATGGCATGGTTCCTTAATCTTCATCGCCGACCTAGGCGAGATTCTGACTGTCGCGTGCCATTTCCAAGCAAGAGCACTTCCCGGGATGGAACACCTACAACTTCCAAGTCAAAGCCTGAAGAACAACCAAGACCCCACAAAGAATGAAACAAAGAGAAACCGAAGGTGTGGACATCAAACATCATAGGTCTTGATACGTGATTGAAAGTGCCTGTGGATATTAATCTGCTCGACGGGAAGTCTGAACGGACTATCCTTTCCCTTATAGATGGCGGGGCGCGCGCTCTTATTCTCCACTTTCTCTACGGGGATCTTGAGCCAAAGGTTGGCGTGACAGGCTGATGTTTGCTGCACATGTGTAGGATATATTATCGTCCCACTGCTGTTGACAACCCCTATGTGACCGACGCTATCAGCAATGGTCACACTTGAAATTCAGGTTAGTGGACTATGTACAGTGGTTCGCTATGGTTTGCCGCGAGACCTATCAAAATAGCCTCTGACTACGCGTCACTATTGAAACTAAGCGGTCTTTACATATATACATAGCGTGCGCTTTGCCCTTTTGGCTATACAAGTTAATTAGTGAAAACCGACCGTGAAGGTTTGCCTCGCTCAGATTCCACTCAGTAGTTCTTTGCCCTGATGTAGATTGAGTCTTGCATCCTTTCAACTGTAGAAAGTTCACGTGTAGATACTCTTACGATCTTGAGAAATCAAGCTATGTGCACTGACCCTGGTTTCCAGCGGTTCAAGCGCGAGTACGCTGAACATGTTCTTCAAGAAGTCATATGCACTGCATTGGCCTTTCCTCATGTCAGGTATCTTTCTCCTCTTCTTCTCCATGATATTCATCACCTTCATGTTCTCCTTTTTCTTCTTCTCGACCTTGGCCCCAATCTCGCCAACTTCGCCGCGCAGTTCTGGTGCTAGGAGTCCAATATGGTTCGTCCCAATATCCTGGATCACGTCGATGTCTCGGGTTGGTCCATGTTTCGTCTCGCACCATAGCTGTTCATATTCATAGCTGCTGGCTGCCAATTGCGAGCATAATTTTGGGTCGGGGCCATGGATCTTTCCTGCGCCTTTTCCTTTACCTTTTCGATGATGTTCTTCTTGCTCAGGAGCACGTTGGCTTGATGAAGCTGTTCCCGATGATGGTTGCTCAAGTCCAGGGGCTGCGCTGGGAGCGTTGATCTTCCATTTTCCTTCCACAACATTCTTCCCATATCCTTGACGTTTGATCATCAGCCTCTGTACAAGCTGTGCCATCGTTGAAATGCCCTTATGTCGTGATGTTGCACCATCTCATTCAAGGTCTTCTGTGCCAATGGAAGAAGTGTAACCTTCGCCTGGTCCATCACCAATAGCATTACTCTATCCCATTTGTTGTGTGGCCTTGAATACATAACTTCTTGAGGGTTGATGCATTGGGGCATGTCGTTGCTGTTCAGGTCGTCCCGGAAGTAGGAATATGAGGTGACACTATATATCGCATTCATGCACTTTCTGATCATCTTTAACATAGCAGCTTGTTTGGCTCTTTTGCTTGACTCCACCATTGATAGAACAGTTCCAGGTGCTGGTCGATCAGTTTCACCAAACTCCTTTCTTGAAGGTATCAAAAGTGTACCCAAAGTCGCTTGAAGTGCGAATTTCCCAATCATTTGTTCTCCTCGCAGCATACGCCATGCTTCATCCATATTGACTTTCTTCAAGCGAGCAAAGATCTGCGTTTGCTTCTCCGTTGGATCTTTGGGTACTTCATCCTCGCCGAATCCATTGCAAATCCCTTGGGTGAAGTCTGACATGACATCCAACCTCTTCTTCGAGAATTGTTAACGAAACTTGGCAATGCCTTTCTGGTGATACGAGGTATACATAGGCTTGATCACCTGCGTCATGCACCTGATCAGGTATCGGTCCATGAGTTCCGATGACCCTTTTCCGTATCTTGGCATCCAGCTTCATCCTGCGAGTCAAATGGTACAGGCTCGGGACATCTACACCATCTTGGAAGCTCGTGGTTGGCGAGGTGCTCATCGGGGCTGAAAGACTTTGGTCCATCGTTCTCGTAGTCCTCGTCATCGATTCTTCCGTCCTTGGCTTTGGTTTGCTGATCTTCCGTTTCAACCTCTTCGATCACCCTGTCTGACGTCTGGGTGAACTCAGCGGTGCTCTTGTTGATTGCATCTAGTTCATCAATGACCTCTTCGATTTCTGGAGCTTGTGAATCGCGTTCATAGTCGACCTCACCAACATCGAAAGATGGATTGAACAGGCCCTGATTTTCTTCTCTTTTCGATTCTGCTCTCTGTTTCTTGAGGTTCTCGATGTGCTCTTGGCTAATCTATTCTTCTTCTTCTTCTTCTTCTTCTTCTTCTTCTTCTTCTTCTTCTTCGTCAGGCACGATTTGAGCCTGCAGTGCGGTCTTGACTTCGTCCATCTTCACCTTGTTGACTAGCTCTTGTACCTCTGCTTTGGGGTCATTCACAGGCTCCATTTCAACGTCATCTTCCTTCTCCGCTTCGTCATCATCATCAACTTCGATGACATCGTCCGTTGAGATGGTGTTCTTGATTCCGAAGGTGTGAAATCGTCCATGACAGTGTAAGCATAAGGTGAAGGTGCTCGAGGTCACATTCACGCACGCCGGGCGTAGGATATTCCACACTGTTGTAGTCTTCACAAGTTCTGGCGATGATCACATTCCACTGCTCTTGTTTTGTCCTCTTGGTATCACCGTCGTTGACCATGTCATTGAGCTTGCGGATGTTCTCATCCCTCCTTGTGCGTTCGGCAACCATCTCTCTTGCCTTCTCGATGATTTGATCTTTGGTTGCGACCTTGTTCGAGTGAGTTGCCGCAGTGATAAGGTGGTTCGTGACCCCTTTTGCCAACAACCTTTTCCATTTCCCTTCGATTGGCTCTTGGTACCATGCACCTTTGACGTTCTCCCAGGGCGCTCCTTTGAACATAACAACATATGAGCTTTCGGCAAGACGTGCACCGAGACGTTGAAGGTAAGCAATTGGCACGTATAAAGCTACGGGGTTCCACGCTTCACTATTGAAGGTATCTTTCCGAGCGATGTTACATGGAAACTTCCACCAAGCCGTACTGCAATAGCGCCCGCAATTTCATGAGATGTGAGGCACGGGCCGAGGACAACATCGTTCTCGTTCTTGTCGGTATGCCCCGATTCAAGATTGCGTGAAGACACCGCTCTCATTGCTACCGGGAACATCCATCTGTCGTTCTCCCTGTAGTATCTCATGTCATTCGGAACGAGGTAGTTCTCTTCCCTATATTCTCTCTGCTCCATCTTCACGACGCCACTGACCGAAATGCAAACTGCTGCTATCTGGCATCTGACTCGGTTCTGCATCTTCTTTGAGTACCACATGGCTTGACAACACCGGCGGTACCTTGTAGCAAGAACATCATCTAGATAATTTCCACGCTCAGCATCTCTGGTGATTCGGTTGCTGTTGTGGCTGAAGATGTGTCCGTGCATAAGTACATCTATGATGTTCACCCGCCCTCCTTCGTTGCATGGAAGGATATCATGTTGTCTGCCTGTGTGTCCGGTCACCTCGGACCTCCGCCTTCCCAGTCTGATGTCATGAGGTACTCGTCGGTGTCCCTGTGAATATAAGTCCCTTGGTCAAGGACAGGTGGCTCGATGAACCTTCCTGCTCGATCCTCCTGACCATTCCACTTCCTGACACAAAAGGCTGTACCATGTTGTGGGACTTTTTCAATGTTGCCTCGATCGCAATCCAATTGAATCTGACGGTATGCTTGCTTCCAAATTTGAGCTTCATCATCCTTTAGGTCCGCTACCTTAGGAAGTTTGGAGCTCGCAGATTGCGCTCCCGTCAACAAACCATCAAGTGATCTTGTGTTCGGTGGCCCTGACGCATCAATTGTCTTGTTGATGACCTTGAACTCGCCTCCTTCCACGTCGTCAACAATCGAACAAATGTCCACTGTTTCTTTGAATCTTGTGAAGATAGTGGCATTGTTGAATGAGCGCTTCATGGACTTGACGGCTTTCTAGTAGTAGTCATCATTGCTGCTACATGACTTCGACTTCGATTGTTCCTTGGATGGAGGGGTCAGTGACTCCTCGCCCAGTTGCGCAGTTTCCTCGGGCAGATATATGTCCTCCATCTCGACATCTTCGTCGTCATCTTTTGCAGTCTTTGCTCTTTTCTTTTCTCTTTCGGCTAAATCCCTTTTGATTAATGCTTCGTCACGATCAGTGAAGTTGACCTTGAGGATCTTCTCGATATGGTCGAAGCAGGTCATGATGTCTTCTTTGTGTTTCGAGAAGTTCTCATTGTCGCAGTTGCGAACGAATGGGCATCTGACGCGCAACAAAGGCAAACGTTCATTTCTTGAGCTCTCTTCTTCACACTCCGGACGTTGTCATAAGTCTGCTTCCACGATGATGAAGATGGCTCATTTTCCCTGGTCGAGAATGGCCCTGAATGTGGTGGGTTTGTCCAGGTAGCCGTCGGTGACACCGGTCTTCCTTCATCCTCCTTGTAGTTCATGGGGTCTATCTCGGGGGATACAGGCTCGGTTTCTTGTTCCTTGGGAGTCGACGCGGATGGCTTCTCTTCTTGGTTCGCCTGCTCGTCTTCCTCCTGTGTCTTCCCCACTGTAGGCGGTGCCTCGATGGACTTCATTCTTGTGAAATGTTCTGGTCTTGGGTATTTGAGTGCCATCTGGAACATCTCTAATCTTTCATCTACCGATGGAACACTGCACGGAGATTTGTTCCTCTTCGTGTTGTCATTGATATTCCTCCGGCTTG